ATTGACCAAGCTCAAACTTCAAAATAAATATTCTCGAAGTTTGTAAAACAGCTAAGCTATCAGATTTAACATCGGATGGTCATAAGTACTTGTAACCTCACTGTATCAAATGTAAATGGTCTCATTGTTTACAATCCCTATTTATGAACTTAAAAATCTTGAAAACAGATAGTCTATATTTTTAGTATTTGAAATTCTCTGTTTTCTTTATATCCATAAATCAAAAGATTGAAATGATCAATCGGAAGGTTTTCCACTTCAGAACACTCTTTTCCTCTGAATCTTTGAGGTACACCTTACTTCTAAGGTATAAAGTTACAACCCTATATATAAACCAGCATAAAGTTACAACCCTATATATAAACCATTTCCTTAAAAGTATTTAACTCTCACATGTGAACATTAGAAATCGTGTGGAGTTTGAAACTTTAGGGTTTGGTTAGGAGCCCCACATGGATGAGATGACCACATGGGTGTTGGTCACATCAAAGCAAAAGTTGGAATTATTATGAGAAATTTTTTGTCACCCTTTGTTTGCTTCATCTAAAAATATTTCCCTTGTAGGAGTTTGCAAAGAGGTGGACACTATTTTCATAAGGTAGGAAGATGGGACCCATTTTCTAGGGCTGATTTTAAGCCACGTGGCTCCACTAAATGAAAAGGAAATATTTATTAATACCATAATGGAAATAATTATTATTCACTGGCTAGCGTGCTCTCTAAAAGCAAAGAAATTTGAAAATGACCTTAGAAAATATATACGGCACTAAAGGAACCTAGAAATAAAAAAACATAGATTATTATTAGTCATTTTTGGCTGGTTAAAAAAATGGTATTATTTTGAGGAAGTGAGCTTTTTATGACATATAAGAGAGAGAATAAATGCTATAAGAGAAGGTGGAGGCATAGGACTGTGCCATAATGGGATGTATTTTCACTGCTTTTAGGTAGGCATGGCAAAAGTAGTTATAGAATTAATCACTTTTTTCTTCGAGAGAGGGAGAGACAAAGAGGAGTTCATTCATTAGTAATCATTGCTATTACTTTGTGAGAGAGAGATCTTTGAGTTTTTTCCAATTCAAATACCACATAGACAAACTCTTTGGTAAAGAGGAATTCTTGAGCAATGATCCAATGCAACGGTTATATCATAGTATAATACAACGATATTTCTAAAAAATCATGTTTGTGGTGTTTATATAACCCCAAATTTTGCACACATACTCTCTTCATCTTAATAATCAATCTTCAAAAAAAATAAAAAAGTTCAATTTGAACTCTAGACATGGTCAAAATGAGTCACCTCCAAAAACGAATCTAAACCATTCATTTTGTGAATTTCAAGATCTTAGCCTTTATAAACTCCAAATTATTTTTTTCTTTTTTAACATTAATAATAAAGCCATCCAAAAAATTGAAAATGAAAAAATTCTTCTAAGGCCTAGATCTAAGCAGCTCACCAAAATGAACGGCATATGTTAATTGGCCTAAAAAAATTCTTTCTAGGTTGTGTTTTCAATTTTTCCTTTTTTTGTGATTGTTCATTAGAATGAAAAGAATGTATATTTCAAAATTTGGATCAAACAAATGGCCATAAGATGGTTTTTTAAGGTTGTTACATCATATTATTATACAACGGTTGCATGAAATCATCGCTTGGAATTCTTAGTTTTATCTAATCCTAAAAATAGGGAAACAGAGATAGGGCCTGGACTTGTAGTTTTCTCCAATGTTTGAAACTACCACTCGATCATAGGGCTTGGGGCCAAACCGAATGACTTGAACTGAGCCTGATTTGGGTTGAGTCGGGGCAAGCCAAAAAGTGTTAAAAAATAAAAAATATAAAAAATATGTTTAAAGTAAAATTAAAGAAAACACATCTAAATGAGGTTAAAAAGTAGTGAAAATTGGATTTTTTTAAAAAAATAAATTTGTGATGGGGGTATTTTAGAAATAATCTAAAAAAGGAGAAAATATAAAAATAAATATTAATTACCAAAACATTGTCCAATCTTTGCTAAAATGATAAAAAACATAAAAAAAATATGTCTAAAGTAAAATTAAAGAAAACACATCTAAATGAAGTTAAAAAAATAGGGTAGAAAAAAACTTTGAAAAAATCAATTTGTGACGTTGGATATTTTAGAAATAATCCAAAAGGAAGATAAAATGTAAAAGTAAATATTCATTACCAAAACACTATCCTAGTCCAATATTTTCTAAAATGATAGAAAACATAAAAAATATAAATAAATTTCCTTTTTCTTTTAAATTATTTATACTTTATTTAATTTTTTTTTTAGATCTCTAAATCAGACCAACCGTCTCATAATACCCGGACCTTCCAGGGTGACAAGTTCGAGTTTTCACACACAGATTTTCTCCGATTCTAATATAAGATAGAGATATAAGGATAGTGTTGTGTCTTTTTGGTCAAGGAATCTGAATTTTTATTTTTACACACAGGTTTTCTCCATTTCTAAACAAATAAGGGTAACAAACGGTTTTATTTCAAAAAAAATAAAATAAAACAAATAGTCCAAATGTTTTCTTAATATACTTATTATTTTTAATTTTCAATTTGTTTTTTTTTCTTTTTCATATTCATGATCTCCATTATTATATATCCTCTTAACATGAAATTATATTTAAAAAATATATTTATTGGCGTTCCTGTATTTTTAAAATATGCGGGCGGGTCGGATAGAAACCGTGTCATTTCTAAAATGAAATAGGGATAGGGATGGAGAGTATATATGTGTGTTTCGAGTCAAAGGGAACGTCGTTGTTGTAGAAAAGGACTCGCAAAGAGTCAAAGTAGTTTTCTAAACATGTTTTTACGGTTTTTATTTCTCCAACCAAAAATGACACTTACTTTTTAACCAAATGATTATGGAAAGCAGCCTTAATTTGGCATCAAAAACGGCCAAAAACATTACAGCCGGACTCACACGTGCGTACGTCTCTCTGTTAACGTCACACGTAAACTGCATGTTCACTTGCGTTGCATGCGCTCAACATGCATTCGCGAAGACTGGTCGCAAAGAGTCGGCGATTTTCTCTCTCTAACTCTCACCAAGGCTAAATTTTGACTCTCTCTCTTTTTTCTCTCTCTTCTCACCAAGGGCAAAAATAGCATTCCTCTCTCTCTCTCTCACGACTCTCTCTCTCTTCTCACCAAGGACAAAGAGAGACATTCCTCTCCCTGTGTCTCGACTTTCTCTCTCTTCTCACTAAGGACTCACGACTTTCTCTCTCTTCTCACCAAGGACAAAGAGAGACATTCCTCTCTCTTCAACGAGGTGAAAAAAATATCATTTCTCTCTCTTCATCACCAACAGCAAAAAATGATATCCTTCTCTCTCCTCACCCAGAGCAGAAAATATAGGGTATGATTTGGCTCAATATTGCAATTTTAAACGCTAAGACTTTGTTGCAAGAAGTAATTTTATTGTAAGGAATTCTTAAGAATCCATTTTCATCTCTACTAAAAAAATTTCTGATTCTGAAAATAGATCAAATCAAGCGGATCAATACACATGAAAATCTTCATGGATGATCCAGATAATAGGTTGCCGGTTGCACTATTTTAAAAAATTTATTTATATCTATATATCTCGATATCGACGTGATCAGATAGATGGTTTTCCAATGTCAAAATAGCCTATCACGACGGATTTCTAAAGTACAACTTAATTTTACAATTTAAGATATGTAAACTTTTTCTAAAAATATATCATTAGTCTCATTCTTCCTCGGTCTCTCTCTTCCACCCCTTCTCCCACATTTGAGATGCAATTTTGTTTGATGTGATTTCGAGAAGACACGCTCTTCTCACACTAGGAAACATGTGAGATGCCCTTCTGATGACATTGTAAGATACGCTCTTCTCTAACAATGAAAGCAAAACCATCTCTCAACAACACTTAAGTTTACCTTACTTATGAAAACATGCCTCACCCTTCTCTTCTCTCTAAACAATTGAAGATAATAATCATAGGCATTTTATAGTGGCATGAAATCAATGGTGTCCTCAAATTGTATAGACTCGAATTTTAGAGTCAGGATCTAACTGCGTCATCATCATCGATAAAGCTTTTTTCCAACTAATTGAGGTCGGTTATATAAATCCTGATCCCTCATTCTGTTCTATCAAATGTCATGTCCTCGGCCAAAAGTCTTCATATTTTTTTTCGTTACTTCTAACCATATTTTTTTGGGACTATTCCTTGTCATTTTTAACCTTTCACTGGAACTTAGTTTTAAGAATTATGATGAATTTTGACAAAATTTTATGTTGGTTGCCTACTTAACACAATCCAACTCCTTTACCTAAGCATGGGATGGGTTAAGGAAAACTTTAAAGTCTTCACCTTTCTTAGACCAATCAAGATCTAATTGCCTATAAATTCAAGATACTATCCTCATTTTGGTGTCAAGGAACTCAAAATCATCGGTCCGACTTTGGAATTGCCCAAATTGGACCAAATCGGGAGGCAGACAAACTTCAGGCCTAGAAACCCCAAGATCGTCTTAGTCATCCCATTTTTTATGTTTTGAAAACTCCCTTGCTAAATATTGCTCGATCTTAGTCAGGGTTTGCTTGCATCGGACAAAGGAATCGGAATCAAGCCCCTCTTGACTCGAAGCCTGATTATGATTTTTCATTCCCAGTTAATGAAATGTGTCTTTACTTATGGGTTCTAAGTATTAAATCATTCCCTCAAATTTCTAGCTTAATTAGACAACTTAAATGTCCATAATTATGATGATGAGAAAAATCACTGAGTTATTGTGAAGGATAGGTCTGATATTTACATGGAATTTCAGGGGTGTTTTTGTCTGTTCACTGAGGTTAAAGGTTTGTTCTGATATTTCATGAAAACATCAGTGGTGTTTCAGTCAGCGAAGACGCCAAAATTTGAAACCCCGTAATAACCGAACAATCCATCGCCGATTCTTGCAAAAACTCGCTTAAAAGCCGGTTACTCCCCCTCTCTCTCTCTCTACATATGCCTCACTGGTTCTTTCTCTCTCATCAAATTCCTCTTTATTTCTCCATTTTTTTCTACAATTTGTGGTAGAAGGGAATTGAAAGACCATCATTTGCTTTATTTCATCTCATATTTTCTCTCTCTAAGTTAAAGCTGGTTTCTGTAACGGCTCTCTGAATGCAAGGTACTGTAGTGTCTTTGTAGTTTTTCTCTATCTAAATTTTTTCTTGAAGGAGTAGATCGCAGTTTCCAGTTTATTATTGTACTCTGTAACTGATGATTGCACTGAAAAATGCTAGAATTGTCAGTTGAAGCTTCTACTTCCCTCATGAATGAGTTGGATATGAAGAAAAGCTTGTAATTTTAGGGTTATTGAGGAAATATTTCAGATTTGAAGCTGTTATAGATTGTTTTGTGGTTTTTTGGGTTTAATGGGGTGTGTATATTCAAAGAGTTGTATAGGGCAAGAACCCTCTTCTCCTAGTGTTTACAATTCCAAAGACTATGGGGTTGATAGAGCAATTGGGGTTACTTTTTTATCTCCTAGTTCTTCGAGTGTAGAAGGAGAACAAGCTAATCAATTGAACCAGTTGAGCATGAATAGGGAATCAGATATTGGCATTAATAGACTTTCCAGGGTTTCTTCACAGTTTCTACCCGCTGATGGTTCCCGAACTGTTAAGGTCCCTGACGGTGGTTTTGAATTGAAGTACTCATATTTGTCACAGAGAGGATTTTATCCTGAAGCCCTAGATAAGGCCAATCAGGATAGCTTTTGCATACACGCCCCATTTGGTACAAACCCAAATGACCATTTTTTCGGTGTTTTTGATGGCCATGGGGAATTTGGGGCGGAGTGTTCGCAATTTGTTAAGAGAAAATTATGCGAAAATTTGCTTGGAGATAGTTGGTTCAGGACTGAACCCATTAGAGCTTGCCATGTTACTTTCTTGAACACAAATTTACAGTTACATTCTGACAGTTTGGATGATAGCATGAGTGGAACCACTGCAATCACTGTTTTAGTTAGGGGAAGCAAGCTTTATGTTGCAAATACAGGTGATTCTAGGGCAGTTATTGCTGTTAAAAGAGGGAAGGATTTAGTGGCAGTAGACCTTTCGATTGATCAAACACCATTTAGGGTAGATGAGTTTGAAAGAGTGAGAAATTGTGGGGCTAGGGTTCTCACATTGGACCAAATTGAAGGTCTCAAGAACCCTAATATACAGTGTTGGGGCACTGAGGAAAGCGATGATGGGGATCCTCCGAGGCTATGGGTTCAGAATGGGATGTATCCTGGTACTGCTTTTTCCAGGAGTATAGGGGATTCTATAGCTGAGAGCATCGGGGTTGTTGCAACGCCAGAGATTGCAGTTTTGGAGCTCACACCTGACCACCCGTTCTTTGTGATTGCAAGTGATGGGGTCTTTGAATTTCTATCCAGCCAGACTGTGGTTGACATGGTGAGTGCAAAACCCCTGTCTCACTAATATCTCTCTCTTTTTTCTAGTCTTTATTTTCTTGGTAAATGTTGGATTTTGCATATTTAATGGTTGATATTTCTCATAGACAATGCGTTCCGTTGGTAGGTGAGTTGAAGTTTATTTTTACGAGAGGGATGCTTTTTTTATATTCAAGGAACTGCCAAAATAGTGTTTATTAGGAGCATTTGTGTTTTAAGTTTGGAATTGTGTCATTTTGATGTATGATGTTTCTTGTTTACTCAACACGACATTTTTAATGTGGGGGTAACCCCATTAAGCACCAAGTAGTGGTTACCTTTCTCAACTAGTGGATAACGTTTGAAGGGTTGAAGGACCGTCAAAAGGAACTTTTGGAGGATTCCATATGATAATAAATAGAAGCTTGGGATTTATGAACACGATAGTTTCTGATTGTTGATTGATGTGCACAAAGCCTATTGTACCAAGAGCTATGAATATCATTATATGTGCTTTGCATCCCAAATACATTCCTTGAAAAAATGCTTGCGACCAATCTGTAGTACAGTTCACTTACATGTTTGGTCGGTGTGGTGATTCATTTGAGTTTGGGTGATGCTGTCAACATATCATTTAATAAGTTTTTTCATGCTTGTTTGAGTCATGGGTGACTTGCCCGATTGTGATGGTTTAGCTATATAATATGTTTGAGTCATTTGATTTCAATAGGTTTGCCTACTTGATAAACTGAATTTTTTTTTAGTGGTTTAATTTATATAAGGGCCTTTATGGCTGATTTCTTTTGACAAAATCATTGCACTTGGGAGAAATTTGAGTAAGTAATATCAATCCACACTCTATGCGTTGATGCAAAATGGATGCTCAAACCTTGCAATTTACTAGTGTTATTGCTAGCCGTCTCCATGAATTACATCTAAGATTAAAGTGTTTGCTAACAACAATGTGTTGTATGTTTATTTGAAGCTATCATTAGGGACGTAGCAGTTATTGCATTGTGTACACATGTTTGTGTCGAAAGGAAGGTGGGGCTATTTATAGATTCCGGTCTCAACATCAGTATATATTCTTTAGATGTTCACATGGAGTCTTATTAACGCCCCATTTCATTCTTTCTTGACATGGGCCATTTAAGTGTTGAGCTTAGTTTCAATGAAGTTCTTCACAAGAAAGTTGGATGGGCAATGCTATAAAAGAGCAAGCTGACTTGGGATTCTGTTCCTTGTCTGGATGGACTATCCTGAGTATCATCAGGAATTCAAAATAAAAAGTGAATGGCAATTTTGGGGTAGGATAGATGACATGAGGCTTTGGATTGAAGTCTGGCATGAAAATAAGTTAGGCATTCAATGAATTGGCAGCTGGAGGGTTTCGCACGAGGTTGAGTGGGGATTCTTGGTGTGATGTTTTAACTGATATTAATGTTTTAAACACCGGAACGCTGTCCTCTCTTACAAAATTACCTTACTAGTGTGGTTTTCAAGAAGTACATACATAGCCTTGCAATGATTCTTTAATTTGACATCGTATTGCTTCCTGATTCCTATTTCACATTGTGGATTTAATGCATTTAGTTGTTGCTATGAACCTTAAAGGGCATAGTGTGATCTTTTGTGCGAATTTCACAAACTCACAATGCATCAAACAACTAGTGGTAACCACCTACTTTTATGTCTTAGGTACAGTTTGAATGTACCCAAAATATGCTGGTTTTTTTGGAGGATGATTGAATTAAATTTTCTGAAGGGCCTATACATGTTTGGATGTCGTGAGGTTTTTTTTATGAAAATTTAAAAAGCTGTCAATTTTATGGAGAAATTGGCATCTAAAAGAATTCTAGTCGAACTCAAAGTGTTTTTGCTCACCGTGTTCTTTGGGCTTCAACTTATTGGAAACTATCTCTCTCCTAGCCCTTCCTCTCCCAACACCCCCACCAGCACGTTTCCTATGCCCCTGCAACTCTGAGCATGTTAAACCTCTCTCTCTCTCTCTCTCTCTTCTCCTACAATAAGCACACCTCTCTACCTACAACAAGCAAACATCTCTGCCTAAAACCCAACAATGGAGCTCCCTCTCTCCAGTGCTCCAACATTTATCTCTAAGAATATTAAAAGCCTCTTTCAACTTTTGAGTTTCTTTTATTTGTAAAATAGGCCCAGGGTTCTTCTACCTCCAAACCAGGGCTTTGTTTGTCTATGAAAAATTTGACCCCCTTTGTGTCCTCCTCTCTCCAAGAGAAAGGGCTGAAATTGATGGGGTTGTTGTCTCTCAGTACACTAACGTTTGGAGGGTTCTAGAATCTATTCTCACCATGGAACAAGGAATTTGGACTCTTTCTCATTTTCTTGTGCAGGTCAGAGCAACATGCTAGGGGTTTAATATGCCCCATTTTTAGAGCTCAATTTGCAATGAAGAAGCTCCGGTTGCAGGTTCTGCAAAGATTGCGGCCTTTCTTTCTCTAAAACCATCTCAAAAGCCAAGCCCTTCTCTCTCCCTCTTCTGCTTCCTTCTTAGGCCATCCTCTGAAATCCTCAATTTCTAGGGTAGTTTTTCTCTCTACCTTGCAACTCTTTGAGATTGTTCCCTGTTTGGTTCTTTGGCAGCTCCAATCTTCCATTCCTGTGTTTCTTTCTCTTGTCTCACGGAGAGGAAATCCATAAAACCAAGATTTGATTAAATGGACATTTTAGGCGTAATGGTCTTTACTTTCAAGCAGGTTTCTTTGGGTTTTATTGTTCTGTTGATTTTGGTGTTTCGGGTGGGAGTTTTTCTGGGATATTTTGAGTTGTTTAGGTTTTAGTGAGAGAAAGTTGTATGGAAGAATGGAGCTTTTGACTATTTTCTTCGTTTTTTGTTTTGATTGGGGGATTGGGGGGGGGGGGAGGGCAGGCAGAAAAAGCTTTTGGAATGGCCAAACAACTTTGGAAGGGCATCCAAACTTGCTATTGGTGAATCTTATATATTAAGATTCTTTGCATTGCGGCAATATCGTCGTCCTAACCAGATGTTTATGTCTAACACTTCAAACTTCAATTTACAAACCTCTCCATGATCATTAGAACCTTCATGCAGCCACTTCAAGTGAGCCTTGCATTGCTATGAAATTTGTGAACCTACTCATGTGGGAGTCCTAAAAAATGCTATGTGCCTATGATCGCCACCAGATATATGGTTTGTTGGTAACACTTGCTGCTACCTTTGGCTGGTCCGAAGAATGTGAAAGCACTTCTCCATTTCATGATGAGTCTGGCATGCCTAAATTTGTCCATCAACAGCATTTTCTTCGAACATTGTTACCTGTATCTCCTCCATCATTAAGTAGAGCAATAAAATTCCCACTTGCAATTTTCTTCTTATGGTAATGATAGTATGAATGAGAATTGTGATTGAAATTGTGCTGGAAATGCATTTTACTAAAGAATGAGCTCACCCCATCAATCCATTATTTTTTTCCTGACAAGGTACTCGTTTTTACTGCATTTGAAGATGATATGTGAAATAAATACAATACAAATTGAGTACTATTTGAGTGGCAACCAAATCCCATATTCCCAACGATATGAGATATCTTGGAATGGGCAAGGTTGTCATTTGCGGAAATACGCATTTTTATGAACAAGGACAACACAATGTCTCATATGGCTGGGACATCATTAGAATCTCCATAAAATTCTCCTAATTCTCCTTCAATGTTGTTTGGTAAGTTGCTAACTACTTACCTGTAAAAGTATGTTTGCCTTACTAACCCAATGGGCTAGAAAGAGACTCCAAAATACCCTTAGTCCACTAACAAGGTCTTGAACTACTGCATTCATACATCTTGGCCCTAGTTTGTCCTACATATCTTAAGGTTGTTAAGGTCGTTCTGCATTAATTTGTCGAACCCTTTTGCCCTGGACTTTATGTTGAGCTACAGTCCCAGTTGAGATTCCTTTTTTTTTTTTTTTTAATTTTTGTGTGATAGTTTTGAGTTAAGCTTTCTATACATAAAGTAATGCAAAACTATGCATCGAAGTTGCTTTCTGCATGCTTCTTATTCCTCTTTTGATAAAAATCTTTCATTCTCATTAGACAGCATAACTTCAGTTCTCTTCTATACTTGCTTCTTATTTGGTTAAATATTGTGAGCTGCTCTTTATGATCATGCTGATTTCTCCTTTTCTATTTTTGGGCTTATCCTACTGAGAGAGATCTTGCACATGTAGCAATAGTCCCCATTTGCTCAATAAGGATCTTTCCTTGATTGAGGAACTATTATTAATCGAAATCCCATGTTTTAGAGACCTTCTTGCTGAGTGCTAGTGCTTAGTGTTGGTATCTGGCAGAAAGAGTATTTGATCAACGAATGGGTTCGTTGAACTCATGTGGCATCTTATTTTGTTACTGTTAGACCTCTTTTAGAATTTCGTAGTGAGCTCATATGACATATGACAGTTTTCTAACTGGTTTATTGCAGTTGAGCAATAAGGATCTTGCAATTTATAAATAGATATCTTTTTACTGTAGAAAAGAAAGGAGTGTCTGAACTTGATATTTGTCTAAGCTTTCCCCTAATCTATGGAGAGGTTAAAAATTGTTTTTGTTGCTGATTTTCGGTTCGTTTTTGTGAGCTTGCCCATAAATATGGATTCATGCATACGTGTTTCTGCATCAGTGTATCTTGTTTGAATTAGTAAAATATATACATGTTATTGCATACTAATATAAGATTTCATTCCTTTTCCTCCATTGTATCTGTTTTTTGGATAAATATTGCCTATGTAGTTCAATTTGAGTTTGATTTCTCTAATTTTTCTCTGTTTTCTCCCAATTATTACTATTAAGAAAAATTACAGAAACACCAATTTATTATTTGGAATTTAAAAATGTCCCCCATATTTCATATTTAACAATCAAGTCCCACTTATGAGAGCATGAATGATTTTCTTTATTTTTCTATACATCGGATTAAACTCAAATTTGGCATGTGCATACTTCTCATCTCTTCATCATGCACTTGTAAAAAATACAAAAAAGTCAGTGGAAAGAAATAAGTTACTAAAATAGCCCTGAATCGTATATTGATATTTTTTATTATCAAATTAATTTTATTTATATTTTTTGTAGGTGTGTGATGGTGAGAAGTATGGGTACCCCAAATATAAGCCTAATATGACGTATTGAACAAAAACTAATATTACAATGCATTATATGCTTTCAAAAAGTGGGACTTGAGTATAAAATATGAAATTTAGGGGACTATTATCAAACTACGAAAATAAATTTTTTCTTTAAATATCCTTTATTATTCATTATTATTATTATTATTATCATCATCATCAAGATTATTATATTATTATTATATTTTATTTTATTTTGCAGTCTTTCTTCCATTTTCATGTCCTTTGTGCTGACCCCATTTACTGTCTTTGCATGCTGCTTTCAATCAATTTTCAGGTAGCCAAATTTAAGGATCCCCGAGATGCTTGTGCCGCTATTGTGGCTGAATCGTATCGGTTATGGTTACAGTATGAAACCCGCACCGATGACATCACCATTATTGTTGTCCATATTAATGGGCTAAATGATGTATGGCTTTCTTCTTTTGTTACTTTCCTTTTTCTTGTGGATGCTTGCTCTCAATGTGTTCAATTCAACAAAACTAACTTGTGGTCTTTTTTAGACTTGTTAAGTGACCTTTTTGTGGTCTTTTGTCAGGTGATTTCAGTTCAAGAATCCCCCAATACTGGCTTAAACGCTATGGAACAAATTATAGAGGTCAATCCTGGGTCTGAATCACCATCTTTAGGTTGGAATTCTAGGAATAATCGAGCAAGGCATGATGTATCAAGGGCACGCCTCAGAGCCATTGAGTCTTCTTTGGAGAATGGACATGTTTGGAACCCGCCTACTTTTTCACATAGGAAGACCTGGGAAGAAGAAGTAATTCTCTCCCTATTTCTTCTATCTCCCCTGCTTATACATATTGAGATATATTTGTCAATTAACACTGTTATGTGTTAATATAAACAATTTTAATTCTGAAGTGTTAGTTGCTACATTTTTGCTTCATGGGAACTTAGACAAGTTGTACATCATTTGCTGGATGGTTGCTTATTCACACAGTTGCATGAAATTTGTCAGGCCCACATCGAGAGGGCATTGCATGACCATTTTCTATTCAGAAAACTGAATGATTCTCAACGTCATGTTTTGTTGGAATGCATGCAAAAAATTGACGTCCAACCAGGAGAAGTGGTTGTGGAACAGGTTATTCTTTTTGTGATTTTAATGTCCATTAATATCAGGATATTGAGCACAATAGTTACTCCTTGAATGTATGGATACAGGCTATAATTTCTTTATAAGATTGCTTTTTGTAAATTCTGACTACTGCAGGGGGGAGAGGGTGATTGCTTTTATGTTGTTGGTAGTGGGGAATTTGAGGTCCTAGCTTCTCAGGTTGGCATCCATTTCTTTACTCTTACTTCCATGTTATTTATTTAAGTACACTTTATTCTAATGGACTACTGAAGCCAAGTCAATTGGGATCATGACTGCAAATCAAATGGCTGTTGTGGAGAGAATGGAACCTGCCAGAACAAGACATGACCCAATTGTGCATCTCACTCTCTCTCCACCACCATCAATTGATTAGATGGTCATGACCGGATATATTATGGTTTTGCAGAGTTTGATTATAATATACTTTCCTTGTATGTTTGTTTTCAGCCTCTTCAATCTGTAGGGTGTTTGAGAAAACTGCTTTGTAGGGATGATTCTGCTATTTTTCAGGGCCTGATTTTATGTGTTTTTTGGTGACCGCGGTTTTCGACTCTTGAACTAAACCACTTTCTTATTTTCTTTAAAGCCGGGCATGCATCCTGTCAGAAATTATCTTTTCTATAGATTCATATAAAATTATCGGAAATAATGATATTCGATTTATATAACTGACAGGATGACAAAGCAGAAGAGAAAGATATGGGTAGGGTTTTGCATCGGTATACGTCTGAAAAGTTGTCATGCTTCGGAGAATTAGCACTGATGTGAGATGGTTTCGATCTACATTTTTTATGCTACATTCTATATTGGATTATGTCTTCCAATTCTTAATGTAGATTTCTCTGGGTTTTTCTGGGAAGCAGGTATAACAAACCACTTCAGGCATCTGTTCGTGCAGTGACAGCTGGGACTCTCTGGGCTCTGAAGAGAGAAGATTTTCGTGGAATCCTTGTGTCTGAGTTTTCAAAATTATCTTCATTAAAGTTGTTAAGGTCAGTAGATATGTTTTCAAGGCTCTCGGTCTTGCAGTTGAGCAACATTGGAGACGCGCTTTCGGAAGTTTCTTTCTCGGATGGACAGGCCATAGTTGATAGGGTATGAGACTGTTGTGCATAAGCTTTTCTTTTCTTGAGAAATTAGAAATGGGAAAGTAGGCTATAATCCAATGGACTGTGGACAAAACAGGTGATGAGGGAAAGTAAGACCCACAAGCTCATGACATGGCCCCTATGGTGGTTTCTACTCTTTGTTCATCGCTATCTATCATTTCAATAGATGCTGATGACCCAGTGGACTGGTTTTTTCTGGAATTCATTCGATTATTCTATATCTTCCCAATGGAAAAATGCTATTATTTCACTTGTTTGGAATTTTGGTTACTGATTGTATGTTTAGTATAGATTTCTTTTTTCTGTTATCATGCTTGTTCCTCTGGTTGTTTCTTGCTCTTAGTTTATCCATATGATTTTGTGTGGTTTATCTACTGGACTTGGAATCTGCCTTTTTGCAGAGTGTGGGTCTCTCTGCATTGTACTTCATTAAAGAGGGGCAGGTGAGGTTGACTTATGATGCAAACCTTATGACAAATCCCCATGTCTACAGTCTTCATCACGAACAAAATCAGAGTGATCACGAATGCTCAATAGTGAAGAAAGAGGGGAGTTATTTTGGGGAGTGGGCACTTCTTGGTGAACATGTTGACTCCTTAAGTGCCGTTGCCATTGGTAATGTGGTCTGTGCAATGATTACTAAGGAGAAATTCCATTCGTCAGTGGGCGTTCTCCCAAAGCTTTTTCAGGATAGCGGCAAGTATGTGAACTTTTTAGCTTCATGCACACCCACACATATGCCCGCTCACACTCATACACATATACTTTTTTGTCCTAGTTTGAAGTTTTCAATGTTGTCTGTCACACCAGTTTAACAGGGTTTCTATTATCAGAGTTTGAAGCTTCATACAGATACTTCAGCGACACCCCATTTGTCTGATACTGAATTACTTTTCTGAGAGCAGGTTGAAAGATCATTCTTTGGCTACGGAAAACGTACAAAGTGCTGATGTTAATGCTGAAAGTCTATCCAAAGTTCAGCTTTCTGATTTGGTAAGGACTGTTCATTGTTTTGGTATGTCTATTTATTAGTTTCCAATTTATTCTGTTGCGGATTAATGTGCTTCGTTTACCTGCTTGCACAATTTGTGTCCAGGAGTGCCAATCTGTTGTATATTCAACTGACTGTAGTGAGATTGTACTTGTTCGTCGAAAAGGCTCAGGTAGTTATCAGATATATTGTGATTGTGACAAATAATGCATTAAATTTAAAGGGAAAAAATAACATGGGAAGTGTCTTTCCCGAAAAAGTAGATTAGAAACTTTGAACTTATAACGGTGTGGACATTTTCTGTTGAAAACAGTAAAATAGATTGAATGAATTTGTTGGGAACTCAAGTGCCCTATAATCCTGACTATTGAAAAACCATATTTCATTGTGTGATCACAATCCATTGCCATGGTGGATGGTGATTGAGAGAGTGTCCACCAGAACAGGCCAGGACTCCAATGGTATGTCCTACTCTCTCTCACACCTCTCTCTCTCTATATATATACACACGGTTCACCATTTCATTGGATGGAGATGGCCCAATGGATTATGGTTTTTCCCATCGTCCATTGAATATGGTACACTTTACCCTTGTTGGTGTAATACCTCTTCAAGTTTTTCCATTTGTATTATTGATGTTCTGTTTCCCGATTGTCAACCAGAGAACCTACTGAGCTTGAAGAGGTTTTCAAAGCAGAGAATAAGGCGACTTGGAAGGGAAGCACAAGTCTTGAAGGAAAAGGACCTAATGAAAAGCTTGAGTCATTCAGCTTGTGTGCCACAAGTTCTATGCACATGTGCTGATCATGCATATGTTGGTGTGTTGCTAAATATTTCCCTAACTTGTTCGCTTTCTTCAATACTCCATACACCCCTTGATGAACCATCGGCTCGTTTTTGCGCTGCTTCCATTGTTGTTGGTTTGGAGCAGCTACACAAGGTATGCAGTCCCAGATTATCTTCTTTTTGGAAAGTAACAAGACAGTGCCTAGGCAACCTGCTTAAGTCAGTCAGGAGCCCAGAATCTTGGAATTTCAAATTAGTGTCTGGATGGGTCAAATTTTTCATAATTGACTTTTTGACCGTATCTATTCAACACTTGGTGCTAATGCACCCTTTTTTGTTTGGTATTTTAAATACCGCACAGAGATAGCAGTTATCTAAAAAAAAGTGGCAGCCCTGATTGAAGTTCTAGGTTTCTGGAGCACTTAATTTTTTTTCTTATTTTGTCAGGGGTTAAACACACTGTTTTGGTATCCCTTGTCATCTATTTTAATCCTTTCTTGGATGCTAGATTAAACTTGATTTTGCTTTAGAGTGTTTTATTTGACTAACGTTGTGTTTATGATCTCAGAATGGCATCCTTTACAGGGGGGTCTCACCGGATGTCCTAATGCTTGACCAGACAGGTCATATTCAGGTTGGTTTCGAAATATGTGCACTTATGTGTCTTTTCTCTGTTTGTATTTATTTATTATTTATTTTGAATGTGTTGACTTATCCTGGTTATATGGTAGTTTTTTTTTTTTTTGTTATTTGGAGTTTCTTTGTTATATGGTGTTTTTTGTTCCCTCATGGTGTTCTGGAATCTAGGGCTCTTATTAAATGGTCCATGCTAATAGAAAAATTATTTGGGCATACTGATGGATGTTGGGGCAATGTTACAACATGCGGTTCCTAATGCATATTTTTTCATGTTGTAGTTTGTTGACTTTCGATTTGGGAAAAGACAATCCAAAGAAAGAACCTTCACGATATGTGGAATGGCAGATTCTTTGGCTCCAGAAATAGTTCAAGGGAAAGGCCATGGTTTCCCTGCGGACTGGTAATCTTGTATTCCAGTTAACAAAATATATCTAAAGCAACTTATGATTATGTGCAAGTCCAAATTTATTTCTTATATTATTAATTCTTTTTTATGGCTTTATTATTAAGTTCCCATCTTGTGAAGAAACCATTTGTATATTATGATACTATTAAATTTGCTCTTTCTTCTCTTTTGGTTGGCTTATTGTCTAATATGTGAAAGCTAATGGGAATTAATATGCATGCTAAAAGTTGTTTCTTTGTAGATTGAAGTAAAATTGCAAATGATCATTTTGCAATTGTGATTGTCATTTTATTGGAAACTTGTGCAACTTTGTGCTTTTAAAACCTTTTAATGCATTGAGCTCTTCTGTTGAAGAAGCCGACATGATATTTTGGGAAATTTCTTAGCTACTAAATTTTGAAGAGAAACTCCACTGACACCCACTTGAAAACACCTTGGAACTTTCCTTATGCTCATCTTGCTGCAAATATCCTTAAATGTTTTGTAGTTTAAGTGCTTTGAAAGGCTGTGAGGAGATTGAAATTAGTTGTATTTTTGTTCTGATGTGACCGATTTAATTTTATATTTTATATTTCTCCTGGGAAATATGCATGGCAGCTACGGACTTTATAACTTGAACAGTTGCATTCGAGTTATGGCTACTATAATTTATCGGGGTTGCCAATGCTAGGTATCGCATTTTGTTGCTTTGGGCTTTGCATTCATCAAGTGAGGTGTCTTTATGCTTATTTTAACTTGAAGTTCACTGGCTATTATGATCTCTCATGTGAAAAACTATTCAGGGCATAGTACGGTTGCATCTTTGTATCTCAAATCCTAGCACCCTCATATTTTAAATAGTATTTATTGTGTTATCTCTCAAGTTTAGTAACAATAGGATTAGAGACGAGGAAGTAGTTAAGATTGACGGTCAGGAAATACCAAAAAGACCTCACTTTTGACTATAGTTGATCTCCTCTGTGGGACATTGAGCACGGACACTGGACGTATGTGCACCATACACGCTGTATATGTATGGTATACATTCCCTAACCAGTATCTCCTGGACAATCTTGAAATGTCTCCTTGACAATCTTGAAATGCCAATTAAATGATTTTGTGCATTCCTGCTTAAACATTCTTTGGTTGCTTTGCTCCTTTGAACGCGTTCTCTGATTGTTATCATGGAATTTTATGGCATGGGTTTTTAATTTAGGTGGGCCTTGGGTGTCTTGATTTATTTCATGCTGCAAGCCGAAATGCCATTTGGTTCGTGGAGAGAGAGTGAGCTGGATACATTTGCAAAGATTGCTAAAGGGCAGCTCGCTCTTCCCCAAACCTTCAGCCCTGAGGTGGTTGACATCATCCACAAGGTTCTATGTGATTTCGGATTTCTGTTATTTCTTTTGTAGTTGTTTTTCCTGCCAATCTATACTTGGTTGTATGCGAGTTCGGCTAATGAAAATGCCAGGTTTCAAGTGTTCAGATTGCCACAAATTTTTGTTTCACGAATAACTTATTTTAACCATGAATTGCTGATGCTTAAAGAAATGCTAAAGGGGCTTTTTATTTACATGAATTGAAATTTTTACCAACTTTTGGCCAAGATTTAGTATCCATTTTTTGGTGGAAACCAAAATTTTTGTCTTACTCCATAACGGACCAAATTTGGATGTTGTTTTTCTTTCAAAATACTTAAATTTTTTCTAGTTGGTTCTTGGAAATTTGATTTTGAAAATTGCTTGAATTTCCATATTTAAAGATTTTTATTTCTGAGGATTGAATTTTTATGTATAAATTTGCTTGAAATCCAAAGGCCACCATGCAAATTCTTTCTAAAACCTGTGATTCTTCAAAACCTGGCAATCTGTTGGTTCTCTGCATATCTGGCTCCTCTTCTTGTCTTTTATGTACTTTATTTCTTCCAGTTACTGGATGTTGATGCAAGCACAAGACTTGGAAGTGACGGTGCAGATTCCATTAAGAGTCACAAATGGTTTGATGGTATTGGATGGAAAGGTATTACGGTTGGGGGCTCCCCTGTTCCTCAAGATATATTATCTAGAATTAAGCTGCATTTAGAGAATCATGTGGAAGAAACTTCTATGCCTCCACCTTCTTCCTCTCAAGATGATGAGCTTAACACTCCTGAATGGCTTGAAGATTGGTAGCACCTTCAGAAAATATTGGTTTCCTGCTTGTAAATATTTCAGCAGAAGCATGCGCCTTCTTGGGTGAAATCTGGTCCAATTTTCACTACGTAAGAGATGGCTCCCATGTTTTTCTATATGGGAGGTGGCTCTCATATTTTAAGTTCCATTATTGAATTCCAGCCAATTGACCGCGACCTGTCTGAAGGTCTCTCTCTCTCTCTCTCTCTCTCTCTCCCTGCCTCCCCTCCTAATTTTGATTTCAATCTGCGAATTCATGTTAGGAATTTGTAAACCACTCCTCATGTAGTGAACTTTATCGATATCCAACAAATTTTTTTGGATGCAAAGACCGGCAACTACTTTCAGTTTTTGCCTATGACAAATGCAAGGGTATCATTCAAAGCTTGGGCATTTTCATTGGGTACACACAGATCTAATTCAGGATTGTTGTCTACAAATAAATGTGCCGGTTCGTGCTCAACCTACATAGATATAAGTGGCATGTTTTTTTCACTCTGAATCCTGTTAAATATTGACTAATTCCCTTACCTGAAAATTATACGATGCGGAGGGCCAGGGGTAGCTTTTAGCGAAAATTTGGTTGATGGTCATGAAGATCACTACATGGGAAGTATGTTAAATTGTTGATGAAAAATCCTCTGTATTGTCAACTTCATTGACCGTGAAGAGCTTGAAGTTGGTCTTTGGATTTGTGCAGATGAAATGCTATAGGAGCACTTTTGAAAGTCTGTGTATATTATGTAGATTTTGACTGTGACCGCGTCATGCGTTGGTTCAATTATACAGTTCAGATTGCTGTCTAAAGCACATGTTTCATTCTTTTCATGTTCTAAATTGGTGTGTACATCTGTAGTTGGAAATATGTATGAACAGTTTTGCTTTTCTTTTCCTCTTCTAGTTCTACTTATTTGGCCTTTCATTTTGATTAGAAGGAATTTGTATGCATTGGAGTATTTCTTGAATTGTAGGTTATTCATGTTAATTTATTTGGTGCTGGTGTCCTTTGGATTAGTAGAGTTTTTTTTTTAGCTCATTGTTTTCTTCAGCTTCATCTCTCCCATATGCCCAGCTTCATCTCTCCAAAGGGCTTATTTGTTGGTAAATGTTCTGTCCAAACAGCGCCTAAGAATGTCGATGATTGCATGCTACTACTACGTTTTTTATCCTGAAATGCTGAGCTAGTGTTTGCATGGTAGTTCCGTTAGAACTCTCTCTCTCTCTCTAACCCACACACATGTATGCGCGTGCACGGAAACAGGTGCATGCGCGTACAGAGAAACATGCTCATTCTCTTCCCCCATGCCTATCTAACCCATCTTGAGATGGCTGTTTGGGTGCCAATATGATCCCTTTGTTATCAGCAGACAAGGGAGATTGCAAACGGTATTAAAGTGACACTCCCAATTAAGTCCTTAGTTTGGTGTTTTGGATGATGCCTTTTTGTGTTTAAGAAAGGGATACTCCCAAGGTTAAGATGTGTCAATGTTAAAATACATATAACAGTTCAACTATTTAACATTGGGTGTCGTTTCTATAAAGTTGCAACCTTAAACAATGTAATTACGGTGCACCTTTAAATTTAAATTTTAACATAACATGTAATTTTGGTGTACACAATTATTAGGATTATCTCAAAATCTATTTTTATATCTTACTATAAAATTTTAAAATCCAAAAATGGTTAAAATCAAGTAGATTTATAAACATATGAAAATTTTGAAAATGGACGGTCTAAATAATGTGTTGCAAGATGCATTATTTCTGAGATGCGAAATCTTTTTTTTATTTTTCAAATTCATATATCTCAATATTGAGATGATCAATTAGAGGGTTTTTCAACATTAAAATAACCTTTTCCGATGGATTTTTGAGGTGCATATGTAATTCTACATTTGAAGGTTGCAACCTTATATAAACCTTTTCCTTTAACATTTTATCATATCATTTGATTTAATTTATTTTGAAATACCATCAGAATATATACGAGTTAGAATAGTTGAAAAGGGTCATATTAAATTCTTGAAAAGTTAGGTGTATTTTGATAAATTCCTCTATTTAAAAATACCATTTTAACAGCACCACCAGAATGTGTTTGGCCGGTGACCAAACCGGACCTTCACTGTGGTTTATATGCAGGAGTAGAAGGAGCAAGCTTGGTCTATATATATATAAAAATTCCATTTTAACAGCACCACCAGAATGTGTTTGGCCGGTGACCAAACCGGACCTTCACAGTGGTTTATATGCAGGAGTAGAAGGAGCAAGCTTGGTATATATATATATATAGAGAGAGAGAGAGAGAGAGAGAGAGAGAGAGAGAGAGAGAAGAGAGAGTAAATAGTAATTAGACACTCCAGTTTGTCTTGGATTGGAATGAGTATTTAACGTAAAAATACTTGTCTTTGTTATAATACTTGCTCTGTTGTATAAAACAATTCTCTTCAACAGTTTACAAAAAAAAAAAAAAAAGCGCGAGAAGTATGAGCCTTTTTTAAGATGCATCTACGTGGTACAACTGTACAAAATTATAAAAAGATGAAATAGATATTTAATAAATGAGAATAAATGATTATGATAGTAGCTCAAATGATAAAGAAGATGATTATAATAATAAATTAATATAGCATAATAGATAATGAATTAAAACAATGTAAATGATAAGGAAAAGTATAAGAGTGGCTTCAAGAAATAGGTGGTCAGGATCATGGGTGCTGACAATTTGAGTTCTGTTTTTACTATAGGCAGGAGTCTTTTTCCATGAATCTATTGAGAAAAATACTATAATCAAACTATTTATTCAAGATACAAAGACATCAATCATTTTTTATTATTAGATTTGAAATGGATAGGCGGGTGTGCAATCGACCAAACTCAAAGTGTAGTTTTTTTTTTTTGTTTTTTGAAATTTTATGCAATATCTCAAACTTTATGACATCAAATGGCTCGTAATGATTGTGACGACGTTGTGCTGATAATAGATGAACTCTTAATATACAATATTAAGCGACAAAGAGCATCAATGGAAAGATGATAAATGAATAAAAAAATATCAAATGATAAAGATTTTTAAAAAAAGAGACAAAAATGTCAAATGGGAAGCAGAATCAAAGGAAAAATCAAATATTTTCAATATTTTTACCCGTTGAGATTTATCGTTTCCGGGTCCCATCGTAGTACGACCTCACGATTTTTGTTTTAAAGCATTCACCACCTCTTTCTTTTGTCTTCATTACATTCATTACTTTTTGTCCTTTATCAATTGAATTTGATTCCTTCACTGTCAGTTCTTTCTTTACCTTTCTCTATTATTTTCACTGATGGTGCTTCTCAATCTACAGTGTTCTATTTATTTATTTATTTAACTTGAGTTCTCATTCTACACTTTTTGATCCAATTTTTATTTAGTTTAAGAATTACTATGCAAATTGGTCGCAACAATTTCCTTAGGAGTCGGATGTCAAATCCAGTAGCTTGGGTTGTGTAGCAAGACTATTTAATTTTGGGTCAGTAGTGTGTGCACATCATGCGAAGGCTTAGAAAGGCACCTGTGCACCTTTTTATGGCTCAAATTGAACCAGTCGGGCAAAAAATGAACTTTATTTTGAATTTTTTATTTAATTTTTATTTAATAAGATATTAATTTGAATTTCGGGTTTTATTTCGTTTATATAAGTAGAATCAAATAAAAATACTGAAAAAGTATTTTGAGTAAAAAAACAGTCATCAAAATAAATTTAGGGGTATTTAAGTTATTTTATTTAAAATATTTTTATTTATTTTATTTGATAGATATTATATTTAAATAAAATGAAAAACCAAATATGAAATTACTTTTTGTCTCGACTGTTGGAAGGGTATTTGTGCAACCTTCCACCCATCCAAATGATATGGACGGGGTTGTTTGCCTTTAATTTTGGTACAAATAATTGACTATCTTTTTTAGACATCAGAGGTCAAATCTGACCCCTTAAATTGTGTTTATAAATTTTTTAACACTAAATGATTTTTTAGTGTGTGATTTCAAATCGAACCACCAAAAGTAATTGTGGTCCCCTCGTACTAAAAATAAATATTTTTATTAGATATATTTCCTATAGGCTCTATTTGGATTATAATTGATAATTCACTATTTACATAAAGTTAGTCCTGGTAATGAACTATGTGTTGTTTGACATTGTCCATTATAAAGCTACATGAGAAAAGCTTATGGTCGGTTCTACATGTAAAGTTTATCTTTCTCAAAAGTTATTTTTACTTTATTCAAGTGCTTTGCTGAAATCACAAATTTTTAGCTAGAAAATTCATTATTAAATGATGTGTCCAAACACTTAGCATAATAATATTTACCAAAATATATTAATTTTAGATAAGATAGTCTATTTTTGATGAAAATAATTATCATCCAAGCGTGACATTAAGCTATAACTTTCTCTAATGTCATTTCTCATTCTCAACTTTTTAGTCATGACATTAATTTATTACTTCCCCTTAATGTCATTTCTCTTTCTCTACTTTTCTATCATGTTCTCTTTCTCTCCATTTTCATCTATTATTCCACTAATGTCATTTCTCTTTTGAACTTTTTTTACCCTATTTTCACCACCATTCAGCTTCAATGCCTTTGGTACAAGGTGGATATCAACTTCAACGCATGTATCCACGTCAATCACTTCATATTATTCCTAAGCATGGGGGATATTGAGAGGACCCAAACTTTAATTATTCCTCAAACCATATTATGCCCTATTTAATGAACATTATTTAACAATTAGTTGAGATTCTAGTTCCATGAATGTAGTCACTGATAAGCCTTTTGAACTCTCAGCTGATTTTGGTTTACTTCAGCAAACACAATGAGAATCTAATAATTCATTTTATAAGATTATTTACAAAGAGATCATTTATCTTTTGTATTTGAAGGTTACAGTCATTTTTATCCCTTAAATTTAAAATGGGTGTTTGTGAGAGTGTTATTGAATAGATACAAATTTTAAACAATTTTTTTTTTCTCAAACATCGTAACTCACCCCAAACCATCTAATTTGACATCTAATGAGTAGGAATGATTGTGACCTTCGTGTACCAGAGATAAATGGTCACTTTGTAGACAATTCCTTATTTTAGTCTACAAGAAATATATTAGCAATTATATTTTCCTTCAAAGTTAAATGTGGTTTTTTTAAAGAGAAAAGTTCGGGCTTTTCTTCGGTAATGAATCTAAAAATTAAAAACTATATGACAAGAGCTTATTTGGATGACAATTAATTTTATCTGGAGTAAACTATTATCTTTAAAACTAATACACTATCAATAATATTGCCTTGGTAATTGTTTGATTTGTATTGTATTATGTATAACGCTTTCAATGAGTTTGAGCTATTTTCAAAAAAAAAAAAGTCATTTTTAGCAAATTATTGTGAATAAAGTAAAATAATTGTTTTAAAAGAAATGTATCTGTAATGCTGCCTTTTTAGGTCATCCCAAATAATTTTATGATCGATACATCCAAATAACATATATCTCATCATCAAGATTAATTTTATTGAGTGAATCACTAATGATGGCAACTATATTTAAAGACGCTCCAAGATCATTTACTTAAGTGAGGTTTGTATACAATTAAAGTGAAGCACACTTCCAAACTCTAGCAAAAGATGCCGTGTTAGTGCCAAAAACCTTATGGTGGTCTAAAAATCTATTTCTACCCTTAACTATAATATTTAAAGTTAAAAATGGTATGGATCAAGCAGATCTACAAGCATTCGAAAATCTTGAAATTGGATGGTGTACATAATGTGTTACAAGATACGCTATTTCTAAGACTTGAAATCCATTTTTACTTTCATATCCATAAATATCAAAGTCAAGATGCAATTGGTAGGTTTTCCA